AGTAATTGGCTTCGAGAGACGGCAAATTGTGACTACTCCACCAGTTTCACATGATGTATGCTTTTCAACACCTCATTCTTGGCTTTTTGCCACAAATCAACAAGCGCACAAATATGGCACCCATTTAATATACGTGCAGATGATTGTTTCCAGTAAGTCACATATTGACGGTCAAAAAGGCCATAGTGAGGACCGACTGAGTGACCCGAGGGCAATTGATGAGAGAAGGTCTAGGGTAGGATGGTATGCTCCGGAACCGGCGACGCGTCCTTTTCCCGATGACAACATCGGTCCCTGACTAAGCAACCAGCGCGAATCTGACAGCCTTGAAATTGTAGATGTCGTAGATGACACGTATTTGATGACCTCTGTTATGACCGGAAGGTAGACTCAAGAATCTTTCGGGAATGACGGCTGAATTGAATGGAAGTCGACCCCTTCGGGCGGAAGACGCAGAAAATGGGCATCAACCGGAGACTGAACGAACCCCTCTCCTGAGGCCAGCCGGGGGAGAGACACAGGACGGTCAACCTGGCGGCAATGACTCCCAGGAGGAAGAAAGGACAGTCCTCTCGAAGGACTTATCCTTCTCCAGGCTCTTCCTGATAATGGGGACTGCTTACCTGGGGGTGTTCCTCGGTGCGGCGGACTCTACCATCATTGCGACGCTATCCGGCCCAATCTCGAGTGAATTCAAGTCACTCAGCCTGTTCTCGTGGCTCGCAACGGCATATCTCATATCAAATGCTGCTTGCCAGCCGATCTCGGGTCGTCTGACAGACATCTTTGGTCGCGGGCCTGGACTCGTGTTCAGCAACGTCTTCTTCGCCGCCGGGAACCTGATTTGCGGTCTCGCCAAGGACAATTCCGTCATGATTTTGGGACGTGTCATTGCCGGAGTAGGCGGAGGCGGTCTCATGAGCATTTCTACGTTTCTAGCATCTGATCTCATTCCTCTGCGTAAGCGTGGTGTTGTCCAAGGCATAGGAAACGTTTGCTACGGCTCCGGCGCCATGCTGGGCGGCATCTTCGGTGGTCTTCTAAACGACCACACAAAGATGGGGTGGAGGCTTGCCTTTCTGGTCCAGGTCCCTTTTTCCCTGGTATCCGCTGTTGCTGTTATTCTCCTGGTGAGAGTGCCCCCGAAGCAGTCGGACAAGTCGTACCTCGCACGCATTGACTTCTTCGGCGTGTTCCTGACGCTCTCGTTCCTTGTCCTGCTTCTGCTGGGCCTCAACACTGGAGGAAACCTGGTGCCATGGAACCACCCCATTCCGCTGGCGACTATTCCACTCTCGATCGTCGCCTTTGCCGGGTTTCTCTGGTGGGAGAGCAGGGTGAAGCAACCCATCATTCCCGTGAGGCTTCTCCGTACCCAGACTATTTTCGCCGCCTGCGTGTGCAACCTCCTCTCCACGATGGTGATAATCGCCGGTCTGTTCTATGTGCCTTTATATCTCCAAGTTCGCGGCGACACCGCCACCGAGGCAGGTCTCAAAATCCTCCCCTCCCCTATTGGCGTGTCGGTCGGCTCCATCTTGTCAGGCTATATTATGAACAAGACAGGCCGATACACTAGGCTCGGCACTACCAGTCTCTGTATTTTCCTTTCCGGGATAGTTGTCTTTTGCTTCCAGGGAGCGACTACCCCGGCTTGGATTACCGGCATTGCTTTCTTCCTGGTCGGGTCGGGATATGCTGCAATGCTCACATGCACTCTACTGGCTTGCATTGCATCAGTGGATCATTCCCAGCAGGCCGTTGTGACTTCCGCTACCTGTAAGTTGTTTTATCCTTGTTTCCAGCAAAGACAAAACAATGATTCACTAACTCGTCTTCAGATCTGGCAAGGAGTCTGGGAAGCACCATCGGCGTCACCCTGGCCTCGTCTGTATACCAGAGCATTCTAAAGTCGAGCCTCTGGGCGACATTCGGGCAGGAGCCAGATGCGGCTGAGAAGATCAACCGGATCCGAAATAATCTGAATAGCCTCAAGGATCTCCCTGAAGGGTGGCACGACGGTGTCATAGCGTGCTTCATGCAGGCTTTCCAGGGCGTTTGGATTACCTTCCTTGTCCTGGCTACTGGGGCGCTGATTTCGATTCTCTTTCTCAAGCATCACACTCTTCACTCTACACTGGAGAGACACTGAGAGCATCTGATGTGTCAAACACTTACTATGCTGTGACGAGCCTCGTGCTTGACGCAGCAACTGGCCCAAGTTATCATGTAGGTGCTCCCTAAGCCTTGTAGCAAGGTTAATGCCCTCGCGCAGGTGAATCATCAAAGTGTGATGAGGTTACTGTATGATTCCCGCCCAGAAAAAAGATATTGTTTGAGTTACAGCCTCGTCTGAAGGTGAAATTGTTTTTAGTAGGGGCTCTCGCTTGCCATGAGATTGCTTGATACGGGTCTCAACATCTCACGGTGTACATCCTGCTGCCAATTGCATCCAACCCCTCATCTGTTACTGCTTCTTCCTTTCTCCCAGCTGTAGTTTGTCATAAAACCTTACTTAACACATATTTCGCCTGGCCTAGTTGTCAGATTGTTTTGCTTTGTACTTATCTATACTTACATAGAGAAAAATTCCAGACAGTCTTATCTCCGTCTATTCCAAGTTCTCATGACGCCTGCATTGATCGTGGATGAGAAAACATTCGAAGAGGAAGGAGAATATGCCTTGCCATCTTGGAGCAGAACTTGTAACGTCTATATACCTAACCTTAGTTCACTGTCGTTGCCACCTGCAAAGTTTGTATTCCCTTGTTCTATGCTTGAAGAGTGGCTAGGAAAGATCCGTGTCTTTCTTAACAAATAAGAGAGCTTTCCTACGGTAAAACTTTTGCAGAGTTGAACTACAAAGCTTGTTACCTATGATGAGCACCTCAAATACGGCTCTCTGTTACTAAATCTTTGTCCTTATGTGTAATTCGGTTGGTAGCAAAGAGTCTTGGAACAACAAGGCAACGGCAACATAATCAACGACCATGAGATAATCGACATTCGCTAGCTATCACTGGTGTGACTTTTGTTATCAATCGCTAAACATGCGTGGGAGAGGGCTCAATTGCTCCAGCACTCATCGGCTAGTTGAAGTGATCCGGATAACTGCGCAAGTGGGTGAACTAGAAATCGAGACACTCAAACATTAAGCTGTTTATTGTCGAGTCTGCGACTGGTATTATCAAGTTATTACGTACTAATAGTATATACTCGAGAGATAATACAGTATACACTGTTACTTTATCTTATTTTATATGATCGGATTCCTTAACTGTTTTTAGAAAGTAGTATATTTATAACCCTTCATCCGTTAGGTGTCTGATTTCTCCTGTCACCAACTTGCTACGGACTTTCGCCTTCAAGAGTTTCTTAGGCTTGTTTTACAATGTGTCTTATTCTACAGGCCGCATTTAATAACTCCGAGGCTAAAAATAAGTTACTTCCCATTTTCTTAGTAGGCAGAGCCAAGTTGTCGTAATACGCTAAATCTGTATGCCTTCTAGTAGGTAGTCTGCAATTTAGCTCTGGAAAGGGAACTTGTATTGTCTACCTACCTTAAGCAGATAGTAGTTTTTGAGAAAGGGCCGTGCCGTCTAGGCAAGGCGAAATCCTCCGTAGGTACCGCGCATGGGAAGTCAAACCCTAATGATGATAGACCACCACCACGTAGGTCTAGTGACGTAGAGGAAAGTTGAAGGGCTCGTCAAGTCCTTGGGAAGTTCTCAGCCCTAGAACTAACCCCAATAGCCTGCTGTTTTGCACTATGTAAGTACAGTATTGCCCATTAGTTGCATATAGATGGATAGGTGAGCATTTAGCGGGAAATGTTGATCACGAGATTAGCGATAAGGCTGTATTGACGGAGAGAAACCAAATAGCAACAGCGACGGGGCTACGTGCACACGCATGCTTACTTCGCCTGGCAGGGCAGGGCAAGATGTCGGATCTCCAGATCCCCTCTTATTCCAATCAATCGGAGAACAGAGTGTTTTGAGTAAAAGCCTTTGACATGCTGACTCGATTTCAGAACCAGGCCGAAATGGCCACTGGCATTCCGTTACGGGCCAGATCAGTCCGGGATATATTCCAACTCCATGGATTACCTAGTAACCAAAGACGCATAGCCGCTGACCTGGCCAGTCGGCCTCGGGCCCCAGTTAGTTGATGACGAGTGCGCTGTCCGCAACGGCCCAGGCAGATTCGTCACACTTGAACTCGGCCACGGAGCGGGACGAGGACTTCAGTGAGCGGCCCTGATAGCCGGGTACCTAGCGCTGCGCCAGTTTACAGTGCGACATCGAGTACTCGCCTATGGTCCCGACAGAGAATTAGACGCTGCTATTTTAGGCCCACTTCGCTTCACAGGCTGAAGCTCTCCCGTGGCGGAGCAACAGCAAAGGCCCCACCGTGGCTTTGCGGCTGCGACAGCTCTTTGGTGTCTGGACGCCACCATGTTGCCCGGTGTCAACGCGCGGCTTCCGGAGCGCTTTGGCTGGGCCAGGCACCAACTCAATTGATAGAAGCTGCTTTCCTTTCCTTAGTGTGTATATCGTTGTGGTTCCCCCTATCCTCATCGCCTTCAGCAACTGCATACTACCGCATTCTTTTCAATATTCATCTGGCTTGCCCAATTCACTGGAGAAGTACCCTGCTGACCTCGCCGTCATCTTCTCCCCGCTCAGCTCTCTCGCATAGTCCCCAACTCCACACGCACCCAGCTTTCGGACCCCTGCACAAAGCCTTGGCGTCTTTGTTGCTACGGCGTTGCTGCTTTCACGAAACCAACCAGGCTCCTCGACACTACCTGCTGCGTCATATCCCGCCCCCGTCTGACCCAATCAGCTTATCCTGGCCAGGCCTTAATATTTGTTTGGGTTTTCCATTTCGCCCGTCAACAACCTCCTATATCATCACCAGTTACCATTTCTTCGCACGCAACCTTAGTTTCGTCCGCCAGACCGAAGATATAGGGCTCTAGAAATCAGCACATCAACATGCAGACCTGGGAGTGGGAGCCATCCTATGTGCCGCCCGTCAAACTGGGCCTTCATGTCGCCCAGCTCGTCATCTCCTTTGTGATCTGGTGTCTTGAGATCGCAGTATTCAGAGGGGAAGATGCTCAGATCGTGGGCCTCAATGGCTGGACCTTCGGTGTGGTAAGTAATGTTTCCGCCGCAGCTTTCGTCGACGCCGTTTCCCAATCACTAACTCGGTTTCCAGTGCTTCTTGTCTATCCCAGCATGGGTATACCTCATTATGACCCCCCGATTCGATCGCACCCGACACCTGGCCAACGCCAACGCCATGCTTGCCCTCGACGTTGCCTTTGTGATCATCTGGCTGTCTGCGTTCTCCACCCAAGCATCGTACAACGCAAGGGAACTGTGCGGCAAGGCTTGCAACCTGAGTGCCGCCATCGTGGGTCTTGGTGTTGTTGAGACGTATGCATAAACTCCCCCCCTTCATCCCCGTTCCCAAACAACCCCATGTCGCTAACCTTGGAACCCGAACAGCGTCTTTTGGATCGCCACAGTCATTGTCAGTGGCTTTACCTGGAACTACTTCAAGTTCCACGGATCCCTGCCGGGCTACGACAACCGCAAGCTCGGCGGCGAGAGCATCGACCCGGACAAGGCCGCCTTCTCCATGGCTCCTCACGATGACGACGCTTACGAGAGGGTGAACATGGACGACCACGAGGCCAACGCTGGCGGGTACGGGGATTACAACCAGAGCACCGTCAGCAGCAACAACATCAACAACCACTACTCGAGCAACCCATACAGCGCCGACGACTTCGACGACTCCAATCACTACGGCTCCGTGCCTCCCAGGAACACGGCTGGCATGTTTGACTCCAACACCGAGTACAACAACTCAGACTACAACTCTGGCCCCGTAACTGGGGCCGGTGTGCCACAGCCTTACGGTTCTCGACCTACCGCCTACGACGAACCCGCACAATTCCCTGCAGGGAACTACGACCGAGTTGAGCGGTAAGAAGAGGAGAATCGTCCCTCACCCTTTTTTGTGTAAATTCTTTGGTCGGATGGTGAGGCCAGATATTGGGTTTTTGTATGGTAAAGCCGCGTTGTGTTTTTCACGCCCGTTGTTTTGGATTGGAAGGGCGTTCAGGGAGCATTTTATATATGGACGAGTTTCGGTGGTGGCAGGGCCGAGCGCTTGGCCAGGGAATACGTATAGTATCATGACATGCCTGTAAAATGAACGATATGATATCCAAGAAACTGTTTTGCTCTTTCCCCACTGCCAGCATTGCTTGAAAAGAAAAATGAATAGATATATAGATATATTGTATTGAATCCTCAAAGCACTGTTTGATCCCTAGAAGCGAACTCCCAAACGCCCAGCCGACTTTTTTAAGATATGCAGCGGCCTGCTTTTTCTAAATGCCAAAACACTCTAAGCATTCATCTTGTTGATTCTCCTCCTAATGTCCGCCTCCGTCTGCTGCATGGGATTCAACTTGCGATCCTTCGCCATGGCCCTCGTGTCGTCCCCATACTTGCCGACCAGCTTCTCCAGCCACTCCCTCTCCTGCTCGCTCTGGTATCTCTTCTTCTTGGGCGCGGGGTTGCGGGCCTCCTGGATCAGCTCCTTGACCACCTCGGTCTCCCTCCCGTTCTCCTGGATCCCGCCCCATTCCTCGTGCTCCTCCCCCTCATTCCCGTCACCCATCTCCGAGTCCGAGTCGAGCTCGTTCAAAGGGTCGTCGAGCGGGTTGGGCGCCCGGCCGATCACGCGGACAATCTTGCCGTCGGCGTCCCTCTCCACCCTCGCCACGTCCAGCGCCTTGCCCGTCGACCCGGAGCCGTTGATGGAGAGGGGGTCCGAGGGGCCGAAGGCCTCCTTGACGCCCAGCGTCTTCTCGGTGCCGCCCGTGGGGGCCTTTAACCGCGCCGTGAGGCCGAGGCGTTTGTAGTTTTGCGCCAGGGTCTGCTTCTTGTCCCTGTTTATGAAAAGTCAGTAATTTAAGTCTTCTCATCTGTAGGGTTGCTCCTCGATCTAATCCATGCTGGGGGTTTGGGCAAGACGAACCAGTTGGCTGCGATGGTATTGTTGCCGAGCGGGTTGACGGGCTTCTTGAGGCGGTTTGATTGCCGGATGGGCTGGCTCTTCGAGCGGCGCTTCTTCTTCTGAATTTCGCGTCCCATTTTCGGAAATGATTGGGCTCCTGAAGTATATTTATTGCAAGTAAATGCTGGTTACAGGTGCAAGATCGTAGTGAGATCAATGGGTGGGAAAGCCTGCCACCAAAATTTCTGTCGATGCTCTTATCGATAAGAATTGTAGTGGGTCTGTTTACTTTACCGCTATGAAATTTCATAGCCTCTGAGCATTTATATCATCAGTGAGCATGCAGCAATCCAAAGTTTATCTTCTTCGCTGGATAAATAATCTACTCGTCTATCGAAGATTCATTGCTGCGGACCTGGGGTCGTCTGCTTTCGCCTCGCCCAGTGGTCGCTTAGACTTTGAATTTCCTCGGATCCAGCTTACTCACATCGGCACTTTGAGCATCACCGTCAAATATGAACTCAGACATGAGCTTGCCCGTCGCAGGGCCGTTCTGAATTCCCCAGCATGTGTGCCCGCTCGCGACGTACAATCCGGGGGTTTTGGTTTTTCCAATCAACGGTCCGCTTTCCTGGCCAAACCTCATGTGCCGGGGAAGGTAGCAGGCCTGCTTTGCCTTAACAGGAGCGGCGCCCAGGACGGAGCTGATTGTGCCGATATATGAGATGATGTCGTCACATTGGGACTCGTCGCACTCAACTTGATCAGCAGTTTCTGGTAAGGGAATCGCCGTATCAGGCTCGCCTATAAACACCCGTTCAGAAGATGGCCACGAACTATTAATCGGGGTGGGTACCTACCACATGCATATACTTCTCCGAAAGGCCGAGCGTAGATCTCCGGGTCAACGCGTCCCTTGTGTTTCCGTTTTTGGCCCATCTTGGATCGGTGTTCGGGGATGTAGTTGGAGGGGAGCTCGATGTCTGTGAATACCGCGTACGGGCTGACCTCGGCCTCGTACACGACGCTGTGCGCTCTCAGGCCTTCCACCTTGGCCTGTGGGAGGACAACTCCCGTCCAGGGTCCAGCCGCCACCACGATGTCCGTTACCTCCTGGATTTCGTTCGAGGTGTTGTCTTTCCGGTCAACATACTCGAGTCCCTCGACTCCCGTCGGCGATGACTTGAGCTTGGTGACCTTGGAGTTCGTTTTGATATGGACGCCGGCGCCCCGAGCGAGCTCGGCAATTGAAGTGGTGAAGTGATGCGGGTGAACCTGGGCGGTCTCGGTGGCGCCAGGCGAGCCCATCTCCGCCCAAGTCTCGACAATTTCTCGGTCCACATAGTCGAAATCACTCGGGAAGTTGCTCTCTTCTAGCAGATTCTTCGCCGCCGCGTCCTGCTTCGGGAGCTTCTCCCAGGTCTTGCCCTCGTCATTAGCCTGTTGCAGCTGCTCAAGGCGTTTCTTAGATACCGTGACTTCGATGCTGCCGCAACCCAGCTTTCGATAGCCCCATCTCTTGATCCCACCGTGCTCTGCTGCCAGTTCGGCATGCAGTTTGTAGGATAACGGGACAAGACATTCTGGGTATGCCCACAGGGCGAGTAGACCTCCCGCCTTTCCAGACGCTCCAGTTGCGATGGCCGGAGCCGCCTCCAGCACTGTTATGGTGTGCAGAGCCGGGTTAAACTTTGGATGCCGTGTGAGGTAATAGGCCGTTGTAGAACCGATAATGCCACCGCCTATTACAGACAAGCAGAAACAGCCGAATGTTAAGATTAACGGTCGTAGTAGACTTCGGGAATTGCAGAGCAACCGAGACCGGTACAGGGTAGGCACTCACCAACGATGACAATATTGCGCTTGCCCTCCATTTTTCACGTATGATGCGCAGATTTGATTCCCGGCGCGGGGTTCTTATCCATGTACCTAAATGGGCTATCTTGGTTGGCCCTGGGTGTCCTCTCTCGTTGGATGGAGTTCCTACGTCCAGGGCTACTTTGCAGCTCGTCAACGGTTTCCAAGCTACTGCAGAAGCCGGAGCACATATGTGACGCAGCACAGGGTCCACAATGCAAAGCGGATCGTTGCTGGCGAGGGGCAAAACGAACAAACGGGATAGAGACTAGCGAAGCAGGGGAGAAAGTTGGGCCGATGTGGGATGATTGAGTTGGGATGGGGGGAGGGAGGGGCAAGGAGGGGTTTTGGGAGGACTGGCTGGGATGAGAATTCCAATGGCCACCGTTATATTTACAAGCAAAGCAGGCTGTCAATGCCGGTATGATCTGGTATCTCAGGCAAATGGCAGATGCATCCTTGATGATTGCGGGCGGATTAATAATGAGTCGTGGTTGGTTTTCTGGTTCGCTTGTGGCGTCTTGGTGCAGCGATTGGTGGACGGGACGGAATGGGATGTGCACAGCATTCAGAACAAGCTCTCGCAGTGAGGTAGCAATTGCCCATGGCCTGTCCAGTAGCGTGTGTCTTCTGCGTCTCATCGCTGTTTGACAGGTTTGTGCCACACTAACGGCAGCTAAAGGCTGGGCGCAGTAGGAAGACGTAACATCGCAGCCGAAAGGTGCTACCCCGCCAAAGCTCTCTATCAATGTATCTGTAGGTTCAGCCTGGAAGAAGTTGAGCCTTGGAGATCAATTGAAGATTATTGAAGCATTGACCGGAAACTACGGGGTCCATACCACAGCATTTCGAGACCCTTGCAAGAATAGGTGCCGTCGTTGCCAGTCTGGTCCCCATATACCAGCAGATACCCGGAACATGCAATAGCCTGTGACGGGTATCCGGTTAGTACCGTTAATGGCAACACGGTTACCTGCTAAAATTATATTTCCAAATAGTGAGACCCTTCGGAAATTGATAGGGTGTTCGTTTCCTTATTCGCGTGAAAAATTAGACCGCAAAGTCCGCTAACTGTGGGCAAAGCTCGCGTTTGGGTGCATCATCTCCTACGTCATTCCGATCGGTGTAAAATCACCATACTAGAGCTTCTTCTTCTCCTGCTGAGTGGACGGAACGGGCATATAGCGTTTTCCGGACCGCTCAACAGGGGCGGTTTCTATAGCCCCGGATCAATCGCCCTGATTAAGCTGGTAATAGCAGGTGCCTGAGCTATGTTGCGCAATTCCAAATCCTTTTGGCCCTGCCGTGGCTCCTGCTTGTCTCCGCTGAGACAGTCCATTGGCCTAGTTGGTCAGCAGAGTGGCGGGTTGCACCCGCCCGCGCATTCGCCGAGGCTTCTTTCAACGAGGGCCCAGACATACTTCTTTCCTACATTATCTCCCCTCCCCGCCAGCAGATCATCGTTTTTCCGCAGACACCCTTCAGGAAGCTTTATTTCAGTCCGCAAAATGTCGTCCGCCACCAGCTTCTATGATTTCAAGCCGCTTGACAGTACGTGTGACCCCGCCATCTCGTCGCAGAGAACCATGATGCGATTTGGAGCTGCTGCCTCGGCACCTCTAGAGCGCCTTGCCGGCCCTTCCGTTCTTATGAACATACCTGCTAACTTCTTGTCTTCAATTAGAGCGCAACCAGGAGGTCAACTTCGAGGACTACAAGGGCAAGGTCGTCCTCATCATCAACACGGCCTCCAAGTGCGGTTTCACCCCGCAGTACGAAGGATTCGAGAAGCTCTACAAGCAGCTCCGCGAGAAGTACAGCGACGACGTTGTCTTCCTCGGCTTCCCGTGCAACCAGTTTGGCGGCCAGGAGCCCGGCACCAACGACGACATCCAGAACTTTTGCCTGGTCAACTATGGCGTCAGCTTCCCCATCATGGGCAAGGTCGACGTCAACGGCGACAACGCCGCGCCCCTCTACAACTGGCTCAAGGAGCAGCAGCCCGGCATTCTGGGCCTCAAGCGCGTGAAGTGGAACTTTGAGAAGTTCCTCGTCGGCCGCGACGGCAAGGTCAAGGGTCGCTGGGCCAGCACCACCAA